TCCAAACCAACCGGGGCAGCAGCAACGTTTGGAACAGCCCCAGTCGCAGCAGCCGCAGCAGCCGCATTCTCGGCATTCCCAGCAATGCCCGCATTTCGATCAACCTGATCCTGATTCCCACCTTCGGCGTTCCTAGCCGCCGAGTTCTCACCATTAGCATGACGTCTTCGATCACCTCTTGCCATCTGCAAAGGGTCAGTACTCTATTAAGTTAGCCGGCAAACTAACTTAACACCACAGATAAACATTTTCAGCCTTACCGCGGAACTTTGGCATTGGAAAGATGGTTTACCCAACAACCCACTTATGCTACGACTTGTCCTAGAACCGACCGCGCTCTGATACCAACTTGTAACACCCTAACCCGGATTTCCATTTTAACTAACACTTAGTCAAATTTTCATCCGAATTTTTACTTAGTATTTTTTGCATTTTGGTTCATTTAGATAGACATAGCCGCACATAAGTAGATTAAAAACAGAATACTTGAATTAAATCGAGGTTCTCAATACAATGATCGTTCGCATATAAGCTATTACATCGACTAAGACCTTAACTACCCGATCCTACCATCCATCCCGTTCCAGCCATAGTCTGTGCGCTGATCAGACCTCTTTACCTGCATCCACAAAGGAGGCATAAGCAAACAGAACTGCTTAGTGAAAGCGGTCATCCCGTCTCACCGAGCCAAAGTATAATCGTATCAAACAAAGATCGAGCCCAATGCTCATCAGAAACAGAAAACTACCCGCGATGACCATACGCGCTTATCCGGCCGATCATCCAGCGACCAGACAAGCTTCGGCGGGCATCACAGCCGCGAGCGCCTTGCCTGATCTAGATCGCCGGTAAGGCGGATCGATCACCACGGCATAGCAAGCATAAATTTCATGACAAGCACAGAATATACACGCAACCGACTAGAGTCTAAGCCAGAATACGACCAAACAAGGCCACGGTCACGCACTCACCTTAGCTTTTATCGGACAGAATTCGGTAAGGACAGAAATCGCGATTGATCAGACTCGTTCCCACAATCGCTCGGCAGAATTCGGTCCACGCTCGACAGAATTGCACTCGCTCTCGGCCAGAATCCGATCGCTCTCGGCTAACTTCTCTTAAGAATATTTCTCTCAATCTTTCTGTTTTTTTTTTGTCGTGCGAAGAAGAGAAATGATCCAGAAGCCTTTATTATATAGGCGCTCACACGATTTTGCGCAGAAAACCGCCCAGAAACCGTTCTCGCGTCAATCTGCACTTTCCCACGATCCGCTGAGATTTCGCATGTTTTCGCACGACTAATAACCGTTCCCGCGCTAACGCCAGCTCGGCTAAAATTCATAACCGTTCCCGCGCTTACGCCTTAGCGCGTTTTACCCGATAACCGCTCCTGCGCGCACCCGATCTCGACAAAAGTTGTTTATTCCGGACCAACCTTGTCCGAATTCTGACCAAGTCCCGAAAAAACTCGGCTTGTCGGAATTTCCCAGCTAAACTTCCCGAAAATCGCGGCCAGCTGATTTCAGCTCGGCAAAACTCTATTCAGTTCGGCAAAACTTGATTTAGCTCAGCAAAAGTTGGATTTAGCTCGGAATCACCCGACTGAACCCACTTTCACCCGACTAAACCCATTTTCACCCGACTAAACCCATTTTTGCCTTACATTTTCCATACTTCCCTTAACCAAATTTTCCAACTTGGTAAGGTTTTCACGAACACGAGTATTACAAAATGCCTCGAGTAAAAAGAGAAGCATACATGAAGCACAAGTTTTCTGCAACAAGGTATGAAGAAAAGAGTTTGGAAATGATAGGACCTTAAGGGTTTTGGAAGATTCCTGGTTGACAGATAACCCTCCCTGACGCCCAGCTCTAAAGCCTGATATTGAACCGGATTCTGCTCGAGCATGACAAGCGATCTTGATGCTGATGAGTGGAAAATCCAAAGATTAAATGAGATTTTCACGGAGGAAAATGTAAGATTAACCTGCATGTCAAGCCAGGAGGAGAGAGCGTGGAGGATGGATTCTCTTGCTATTACAACAACAATGGAGCCTATTCCATCATATCAGGATACTAGATATGGCTCAAAAAGATCAAGCAAGAAACACTTTGGAGATAACAAATCTCAGCCTGAATCCTCTCTTTTCAAGACGTATGGAAAGTAAAAGCAATATCAAAGATTCATAGCTTCCTTTTGAGATGTCAATGGGTGCAAATATGCTAAACAAGAGACTGACTTGCAATCCTAAATTCCCAAGATGCGGGCATAAAGAAGAGACAATCAATCATGTCCTCTTCAAATGCCCCTTTGCTAGAATAACATGGCCCTGTCCCCTGAAGCTCTTCTCTTTTACCCTGAGCCAACTGAATCCTTGTTTGAAAATCTGGCTGTATGTTTATTCTCACGTGAAAGAAATTCAGACAAAAATTGATCCCTGCAAAATTTGGCCTTGGCTCATTTGGAGAATATGGAAAGCATGCAATGACTTCTGATTCTCTGGTTTTTAAAAGATGATCTCGAATCAGTTTTTGAGAAGAAAGGCATTGATGCACAAAATGGTATGATTACAACAAGATTTACCCCAGACTTCACTCTGTCTTGGATGCAAAAGCATCAGCCCTCACATGGGCCAAGGCTTAGGTTTACAACCGGCTTTGAACATGTTGTCTTTGAGAGAGCTTTCCAGACATTAATACAAGATATCAGGGACCTTCACCTTTGGCCGACACTCAAGCAGGGATATACAAGCGAAATATTAGGAATAAGGAGAGGAAGACTGAAGTCGAGATTTAGTTTTACTAGAAGGGAAGGAAATGAATATGCTGATTTGATCGCAGAACAAGCAGAACAAGCATCTTCTTACCCACTTTATTTTGTTTTTCTTAGATAATTGTACCTCCAATTGGTTTATACCCTGGTGGAAAAAGAGCAACTTTCATGTTCTTCAAGTATTTAAATTAATATAAGTATATTTGACCCATGAACTGTCGTACATCTGCTCTATCCATTTGGGTTGGACGTGAATGAGGAATGTCCAAAAATATTCTCAATCTTATATATAAAAGACAATCAACTTTCTTCAGCTGAATGCCACATCAGCATTGGAGAGAGTGACACATGTCCATTTACAATTTTAATTAAAAAATAATTAATAAAATTTAAAGAAACACACTAAAGAATATAAATAAATAATATGTATATAAATAAATTTATATAATAAACGAATTAAAATTTAATTTAAATATAATACAACTTATAAATATTATATAATACAAAAATTTTTAAATGTACTATTCTATTTTCTTTTTTCAAATGATTTAAATTTCATTTTTAAACTAAAAAATAATTAAATTTTAATGCAAGTGAAAAATATTATGAAACTGAATATATTAAGAAGTTTCAAATAATCTTATATAAAACTCTAACTAATAAACTTATAAAACATAAAAATATTAATAAATGATTAAAGAGATAAAAAAAATATAAAAAAAATAATAGTAAAAAGAAGAGTGGATATATAAAAATGTCATCAGTTGTTTTTTTTTTGTACAAAAAAACCAGGAACCAATAAAATATATATAACAAAAAAACTCAATTGTATATTGAGAAAGTTGACAAATATTATATTAGTAGGATTTACAACAATAAAAAGAATATGAAGATGGAAGAACAAATAAATATTCGTCTCTGGTATTCAACTTATATTTTTATGTGAACTATTACATTTTTATACAGAAATTAAATAGTAGGTTTTTAATTCTTTATTATAATGGGAGAAATTTTGGACTATTTCGTATAACTGGTGTAGAATAGTTACAAATAATATGTTATAAAAAAATCAAAGAAAATATAAATATTTTAAAGGCAAAAATATTGATAATAAAAATAAAATTTAATAAAAGTTTTTAAAATGTTTAGTTTTAAATATAAAATTTAAATAAAACCGCGCATACGCGCGGGTTCTCTCCTAGTTAGTTACAAAAAAAAAACATTCTCAAGGTCAAAGAAAAATGATTTCACCCTATTCTCTCATTAACTAGGGCTTTTGGGGTGATGAATTCAAATGAGTTTGAAGCAACTAGCGCACATTCAATACATTTATCTTCTCAAAGATGGACATCTGCGACCTACAAACTAGATTTTTTTATTTTTATAATTTGTTGGTTTATTAGTCCATTCATTATTGGTACTAGGGCTGGGTGCAAAATATCTGTTAGATTTGCTTCGATCCGTTATTCGTCTCGATTCGATCCAAAAAATCCGAATATCCGTACTTTTATGGAGCAAAGCAAATACTAAAATTCAATATTCATTAAAAACGGAACAAATCATAAATATTAAAAAAATTAAGACGGATATTCGCTCCGCTCCGGTATAAGTATATATGTATATATAGATAAATAATAATTCATATAAACTGTATAATTATTATATATAGATGTAATTTTTGTCAATTTTTGTTTATAAATTTAATTATTATAAATATTAAAGCTTAATAAGTTAAGAAAAACAATATTTTTTAAAGAAAATATTGTCATTTTTTACTAAATTTTGAAATTTTTTATTTTTATTTTAAATATATTATTATTTAAATATTTTTATGGAACGGATCGGATATCTGGCAAATATTTAGATTTTTGGAAGATATCCGAAAAGCGGATATCCGGATAATTACGGAACAGATACAGATCGAAAAAATGATGATCCGGACGGAGCAGAGCGGATTACAAATACCTCTAAAATCTAGAATATCCGCTCCGCGCCCATCCCGGTACAATTCCATCTTGAGAGAAAATATCGAAATAACGAAAGGTATCATCAATGTAAAATAGAGAGTGTATCTAGAAATTTTTCAGAGGCACCCATTCAATACATTTAACTTCTAGACAAAGATGGATATCTGCGAACCTACAAACTAGATATTTGTATTTCTAAGAGTGTTTGGTTTGTTAGTCCATTCGATTCACCGCTAGAATAAGATCCACCTTGAGAGAAAATATCGGAATAATGAAAGATAGCAATAAGAAATTTTTAGAAACTTTCATTTGTTGTACTTTTTGTTACATTGAAAATAGAAATATCCGACATGTACTCCTTGAAATAAATAAAATCTTGGTCTTAGCAGGTACTCTTTAATAAGGCAATGGTACTTAACATGAAATCATTTGAAGACATACTTAACCAACCCAGGAACATGTGTATTCTCAAAATAATCCACCCAATCGATAATCTTTGGATTGCAATAAAACATCTCGGCTTCTACTCCCGTCATTGGCACCAATTTTTGCAGTTTTTCCGTGTTTGTATCGTCAAATCTGTGTATATGTATATAAGTCGGTTAGTATAACATATATATCTTGTAAATCCCAACCAGAATAAGATCAGGCGAAACTGAACTTGCAAAATTAAAACTAGTAAACACTACTTACATTCCATAGAAGAAGATGTAAGGCTCATAGAGCTCGACAAGCCGAAATACAAAATTTATCTTTCTATTGATATCCTTAAGTTTCTTCTCAAACGAATTAAAAAGTACCATGTTCAGTAATCCAAGTACCTATAAATTGGAATAAGTCAGGATTTAGGAATTTGTTGTCGATTTTTCAGAATTTAAATTCACCACCCATTATATGGTTAGAAATATTACCTTTAAAGGAAGTACGTAATGAATGGTCATGTATCTATTGAAACTAGACATAGAACTCAAAACTTCTACTTTCTTGACCTGAACTGCCTTCCCTTCTTTGTTGATCCATGGTTTGGTTGTAAAATATCGGTATGCTAGTTCTGGAAATATCTCATTTCTCAACGGATTTCTCAACGAAGATCCAACATGATAAATCATCTCCTCCTGTTTACCAACTTGAGCAGCCATTGATACTAGCATCGTATTGACAACCATATCCACAGGTATCTAGTCCATCAAATTTGTCAAAAAATATCAAATGAAGGCGGTTCAATCATATATTTATGCCATTTATATACATTTTGAGATTTCTATGGACACTATGATGTTATATGCATGATAATAAAGATGAAGATAAGTACCACATCTATAATAGCATTAAGATCACCAAGGAAGCATGTGAGTTTGCCTGTACCGTATCCAACAGCTATACCATCAATTGTCCTATATATATGGAAGAATTAATACATCATTAGAATCTTTTTTTTTGTAGGTAAAACTGTCAAAAGCTAATATCAATCATTTCTTAAAAAAAAAAAAAATTCACCTGATGCCCTCGGTCCAACCTGGGAATGGTTCTTTGAATGTGCTGCTAATAATTGAAGGACGAAGTATCACGAGCGACATATTTTCTCTTGTTGCCCCTACCATCATCTCCCCCATAGCTTTTGTAAACACGTATGTGTTTGGCCATCCGTACAGCTTTGCCCTATTTTAAAAATTATGCAAAATATTAAACGTAACTTCTGTATTAAGAAATTTATTTGGACAATGAGATAGATTCTATAAATTCACAAAACATAACTAAATATTCTAATATAACCTCCTCTCCTTAGTCCTTACAATTAAGTTGTAGCAAAGCTTTACATGTTTTCAAAATTTTCATCACTTGTTAAAAATTTTAGAAATTAAGTCGTTGTTGATAAAACTAATATACATTGTTTTAATACATCTTTTCTATCATAAGTGTAAATATTTTGTTGATATGTTATGTTTCTCGTAATATAAGAACGATTTTTGAAATTTTTCATTTCTTTACAGTAACTTTTAGTAGTTTTTAAATCAAAAGGTGCTATCACTCTAACTCCTAAATTTCATTTAATATATATATATATATATCATGATGATAAATACAACTAGGAATCACCTGGTGAATCTTTTATATATATATATATATATATATATATCATGATAATAAATTACAACTAGGAATCACCTGGTGAGTCCGAGATCCTTCATGGCCTGTGTGATTGTCTCGGGCAAGGCTCCAGTGGCTCGAAGCTCGCCAAGTTTCTCCTTAACCAACTTTTTCTCTTGGTTGATATCTAGGCCGGTGGCTCCGTTCAACGTCTCACCCATACGGATTGGTGTCTCCATTATCAAGCCCGTTTGTTCCCCGCATACATAAGCTACATATAAAATAGTAGCCTTTCTCATAAATTTAAGTATGATATCTGATTCAGAATAATTTTATCTGGTTAAATATATTTTTTGGTTTATGGTATAACTTCCCTTCGGCTTGGTAAATCAAGTCAAATTAAACATTTCAAACTCCAAATAATATCAACCATATTAAGTAGAGTATTCGGTTTTAAACAGGCAAACATGACTATAGATGCTAAAAGATTGTCTTAAAGTGCTGCAGAGTTTGTCCTTGTCAACAAACAGGCGCTGGTAAACAAAACACCAAAGTTATTTGTATATACGTAGGTCTTTGTACCTGTCGACACATGAACAAAGACTTTAACCTTAGCACATCTCTTGGCAAAGTTCAAGGCATTGGCAGCACCCAATGTGTTGATCCCAAGTGCTACATCGTATCTGTGATTGATTAACATATTTTTTAGCTTGACATGGTAATAAATCTCGCAACGAATATATAATATAAACGATATGAACCAATTCACTTTTCTTTACTAATTATAAATATATCAAGTATAACGATCTAAAAATATATATCGGTCGGTTTGTCACTGATATCTAACCATCACAGTATGACGAGGTCGGTTGTTCATTGTAAATAAATTTGTAACACATTGATTCTGGAATAAATTAGAATTCATGGCTGTGTTTGGTAAATCATCTTACCAACCTAAATTAAATTGTTAAATAGATTTATTTTACCGTTGTAGATTCATTAATTTTTTTTAAAAAAAAATAATGTCCTAGTTAATAAATATACCTTTCTTCAAAATTAGTAGTTGCAGCTAAATTAACAATGGCATCAAGTTGGTGGACCATCTCATGTTCCAAGTCGGAGGAATCTTCATTATGAAGACCCAAATCCTCAAGGGAAACGTCTCCATTCACAATAGTGATCTTTTCTGATATATGATTTAGATTTTCTCCATATTTTTCCTTCATCACCTTATACAAGTCCGTTCCCAAAATCTACATACATTTGGAACAATCGAAAGTTAGAAAACTTGTGTTCATTAATTAGCATTGCTCCAATATACGTACCTACCGTATAGTTGTTTCTTTTTGTTAAAATTTAGATAATTTAAATTTATATAAAATCATTCTTGACCAAAAAAAGATTTATATTACAAGTTTCAATATATATATATATATAAATATATAAATAGTTAACAATATAACTAGATCATCGTTAACTAAAAATAACTAGATCTTTGATCTGCGGTGTAAATTAATGTTGTAGAAAAAATAAAACAAAGCATGATCAAAAACAAAACAAAATTACGCATCGACCAACATAACGAATCATCAACATTCGTGGTCATGGTTAGTAATGTGACAATTAATATGATTATATGTGTATAAAACTTCGGAAAATTAATATAGTAAGATGTTGATACGAACCTCGTTGAACCTCTGGGTAGCAGATTTTCCATCTGATGCTCTTAAAAGAAGATATAGTTTCTTCACGTTAGGTGCAACCCGTAATATCTTTTCCACAAAAACTGCATACAAGTTAAGATATAAATTTGTTTATAACTAAAACATATTTTTCAAATTAATTTGAAAACTACTGCTCTCTCAGCTTGTATAAAATGTCGTCACAGATTTTTTTGTCTCCGAGGAGAAGAGAAAATAAATATGAAACATAATATATGGCTTCAACTAATATAACTCGCAGAACCTTCTATAGCATATGCCCAAAAAGCAAAAACAAAAAAAAAAATCTTTAGCATATAGCTCACATATGCATATTGGAAATTGCAATGTATACTTGCAACTTGTAATTATACAAATTGTTCGAGAGTAGACTGTTATCTATATAGCTTCTAGTTGTAGTTACTAACTAGTGGACGTCAGCAAACTTTCAGAAAACATTCTTGCCAAGATATGGAGACAGAGAGAAAGTCAGAAGAGAGAAGTAGAGAGTACTCTTTGCTAAGAAACCAGCAGCTCCAATCACCAATATGGATTTTTTGTCAAGGTACTGAAGAACACTCACTGCCTCCATCTCAGTCGCCATTTTGTGTGCGTTTAAGCGAGAAAAAATAATTCGATAGAGTACAAGTTTAAAGTTCTGTGGAGACTTCCTATAGTGGCTTTATAGGGGAAAAATTCCAACGTCAACACTGACATTACTTTATTAATAGGTTGTTACACCAAATATGGTAAAATAGCGATGGAGAGCAATGTTGTAGTGGTCTTTCACTACAGTCAAATTTTACGACTAGATTGAGCCATTCCGAAGAAATATGATCCGGTTCCCGAACTAGTTCAGGTACACTTTTATAAATATTCTTCTCGCTCCTTTGAGTTGGGGCCAAGATGGAGGGTTTCCACGGTTCAAGGTTTTCGAGGATCCATGGTTCTAGGATCCATAAACAAAGATCCAGAGGGTCCAGAATTAGTGCCAATTAAGGAAAACAACCTCTCCTCACATGTGTTATTCTTTTCTAGTAAAAACACTTTAACGTCATGCGAGAGTACAACGCACACACACACACATGACACAACTACACTCAAGATGGGGAATGTGGTTTTACTGGACTGGCAAACCATATTCCTCCTTCTGTTCGATCTCCTATGATCATTGCCACTTTCCAGATAATCTAATCCTTACCAAATAACAGATTGGACTTCAGATCAATTTGACAAAGTCTAGAACTTAATCAGCACCTTTTGCTCGTTAATCGATCTTTGTCTAATGCAGTCGATTTATTCTGACTTGAGCGGACAATGTTTTCCCACAAACCTTTATGATGGTGTTATATGAAAGGAAAACAACATCTCTGAGATGGTCGAATGAGCGGTTTGTTCACTAGAAATCTGCAGAAACCTAGTTTGGTTCACTCTGATGGACAATTTACCTACCCTAAAATAAATAAAAAAATTCAAATTATCTGGAGTGCTATGTATTTTTACATCAAAAATTCACTTTCTAAATCATATTGTTCAGCAAAAACAAAAATAATAAGATTATGCAGAGTGCAAAAAAAGCTTTGGTCAGTTTGTTCTAAAATTTATCCACCTTCGCAAATAGATTTTTACTAAATAAATCTAAAGTATATTTACCATTTTTTCTATCTTCAAAACATTATTTATTATTTATGTAAATTCGATACTTACGGTTTGGCTAGTTAAACCGTTCTAGGTGCTTAGGCTAATGAAAAAAAAAACCAATGTACTTGTAATTTATATTAATAGTTTTTTGTTTCAATTTTTTACTTTATTAAAATTTTGTATATATCTAAAATTATAACCTTTTTAAAAATATACATTTCCATCATATTATATGAAAAGCCGTTAAATTCATTTAATTTTATAGTGCTAATTTCAGCTAAGTTAATTCAAGAATTTCCATTTTTCTCCAGTTGAATAACGTCAAATCAAGACAGAGTGTATTATGGTTTATAGGTAGTTGTCTAGTTCTTGTTGTGGTATTGATAACTGATGTTAATATACACATCTACTAGATATAGTTCTTTTCTTAGAGAATCAACTAGACATTTAGAGTGCGGACCATCGCTTTATTTATTAGACAAATCTGCGATATTTTTTTAATTAACTTTACTGAAAATCTCTGCTGTAACTGCGGTTTTTTTGGAGTGTCTCTAATCGGCGCCATATTTTTATATTAAATCTATTATATTAAAACAGAAGCACATTTAGTACTTATTTCCAAACACTCTTAATTTGTTGTAGGTGTTTAAAAATAATTTTAATAATAATTTATCTTTAATTTCGAAAATTAGTTATTAATTTAAATATTTTTAGAGTTCCTTAAATATAGATAATTTAGATTTGATTTGATTTGATTAAAACTAATAAATCAGATATTAATTTAGATTTGATTTAAAAATTCTAATTTAAATAATTTCTATACTATTAAACATTTTTTATCAAAATATCTAAAATTTTTGAAAAACAAAATTCACATATGAAAAATAATGGTCATATTTGAAATATAAAATATTTATAATGATGTAAATGATATAATATGTTGTTTTTATAATATATTTACGATTATGATTTATTTACAAATTAATAATAAAATAATAGATAAAATTCAAATGTATAATTTAAATATTAAAAATATATTTTTAAAAATTTATAGAACTAAAAATCTATATATAAAACCGGGTTAAAAATATTTTTGTAACTAATATCACTAATTTTGAATTATACATGTATATCGAAAATATATTTTTCATACAAAATCAAAACATAAAAAATTAAAAATTATTGCATACACTATAATGTGGTTTGAAAAACCAGTTGTACACTCCTTTGGTTGATTAAATTTTAGAAAACTATAATGCTAAATAATACTGTTAATACATCTCAAACTTTTAACAAATATTTATATTATACGGTAATATGAACGGAAAAATAAGAATTATGTTTTTATAATAGTTTATTTTGAATTAATATTAGCGGACGGGTTAAAAATACATCTAAACACAAAAATCAATATTTTCACTTATTAAAAAAATATATTTATAAAAATAATTATATCTAAACTCAAAAACACAAATTATATTACAAAATTCGTTAAACAATAAAAAATATTCCCGTGCGGACGTACGAGGTTAGAATCTAGTTTATTATTTGAAGTTGGACGCATTTATTGTCACATGAAAATCAAACGTATGACACAATTATAAGTCATACAATTTTAGTATGTATAGAAGTGTATTTGGACCGCAACATTTTTTAAAATATTCGGAGTTTTGTAACTCATGACACTTTTTAAAACTTAATTGCATCAGATGACCTTTTTAAAATATAATAGTTTACTGTTGCTGGCAATATTTCCATGCATGTTTGTTGATGTACAATATATGAGGACGTCTAGAACATATCACGACTTTTTAACATTAAGCTTGTTTTATTACTAACTTGCATAACTTGTCACTTAATCTTGTGGTTTTTAGTTTTCTTTCATTTTCTGATTTTTTAATTTTTTTTTATCTTTTATCAGCAAAATTACAATTTTATTCTGTTCCTTACTACTCTGTATAATATGGTACATTTTTATACATACCGTTTTTTGAAAATGTAAAATATTTATCTACAGTGAAATAAGTGTTAGTTTCCTCCACAATGCTAAGAAAAGTAAAAGAAACTTAAATAACTGGTAAATGCTGCAAACAACTCCTGGTTTTATCTTCTTATTTGTTATTATTATTTTTTTGGATAAACAGATGTTTACTTTGTATATGAATGTCTTCTAACTTATTATATTCTTTCAAAACATTTTTTAATAACTTTAAAAAATTTGATATTTTGTTTAAGTTCAATTATTTTTTAGCAATTTCCCAAAATGCTTATAGAAAATAGCACTTTCTGTATATTGTAGATGATAATTTAGCTAATATATAGCATACAATGTGTATATGCTTGTAGACAATACACTAGAAAACTAAGGGCGGAGGAGGTAGTATTTTGTCATTTAGCTGATAAATGACAAAATGTCAAAAACAGTAAAATATTGAACTGCTGAAAACTAGTAAAACTTAAATCAAGTGTTGTTTTTAGAATTATCATTTAGAAATAAAGTGGTAAATTTGAATAAAATTATTTAAATTTGATCAAAACTTAACAAATCTAACTAAAATTTTTTATATATTTTAATTATTTTGGGTTTCTCAATCATTTTGGTAAAAAATAACTCATATTTCAATTGTAATTTTAAATTATTTTTAAATAGAATTAATATTTAAAGTATATAATTATAATTTAGGTATTTTGGATATCCATTCAATTTTTGTTTTGGTTGGATTTGATTTCGGTTATTTAGATATAGAAATCTATATCCATTCAAATTTTTTTATCAGTTTTGGTTCAACTTCGGTTCCTTTTTTTTAGTCGAATTCGATTTAATGTTTTGGATTCGGATATTACGGCCGGGGCTATATTTACATATAGATGTCTAACATAATTTTTTTTATGAGTATTAATTGAATGTCCAATATGTAAAATATAGATTTTCCATCAAATACGAGTATTAGTCAATTAGCTTTTTACTGGTTAATCCGAAACTCCGGTCACAACTCCATTCAGGATCCTATGCAAAAATCAACTAATTATAAATCCAATAAACAAAAACCCTCATAAACCTGCGGTGTTATGTATGAAAAAAAAATACTGTCTTACTTGTAAAGATTCGGTTTTTATGCCTACGAAATAAGAACCCTGTTTTATATATACTATCACACACAAACAAACCTCTTTCTTTTCTAAATACTTAGGTGATTAATTAAACGAGAAAAAATATGTAATATAGAATTTCTGGGTTATGTTTTGGATTGTGTTGGTTTATATATTATTTATGATTCAAGGGTAGCTGCTTCTAGGCAAACCTCCTATGATATAAACTTGGACATTTTGTTCACACACATTACGTCGGGTTTGAACCATCATTGACATTATAGTAGTTCGACAATAATGCTATTATGCTAAAATAAATAAATAGGCGACAAATCCTGATCAACTTGGATATCTTTAAAAATATGAAGACCCATTTGAACCATCATTCCTTATAATAACTATAGTAAGTCGACAAAATGCTAAAACTTGGCAGAGTTCACATGCTTTTCATTTTCTACATGAAACTGGTTTTAGTTACCTGAATCTCCATGAACTTTGAATTCTGAAAACTCAGGAGATGATTTTGTTCCTTTTTGACCATGGTTTGTAAAAATTAAAGTGAATACCTACAAAAAAATAGTATTAGAAACAAAATACACAATCTGAGAAACCTAAAAACTAATCAATCCTAATACAGAAATAAAAGAAAATATGAGTCAATTCATAATTTTTGTAAGAGAGTAATAATTTTGATTGTTGATACCTTTGTTGTTTAGTAGATTTTAGTTAAAAATAAAAGATGTCTCATGAGGAAGAAGATGGAACAGAGTACTTTTTCAAAAATGAAACAGAAACCATCGACATTGGTTTTTAAAAAATGATTTCTTTTTTTTAAATAGACGTTTTCTTTTTATATTTGTGTATTTATTTGTTTTTAATGTTAGTTTTATTTAAGTTGATTGAATTTTCTTTTTA